CAGTGAAGAGGCAGTAGGCTTTCACCGGAAACCTGGAGGTAAGGCGATGCGCTCGGCTTGTTGCCTGGAGCTGGGAACTGAGTTGGGAGGAACTGAGGGAATCTTCACCATTTTTAGGGTTGAAGAAACCCCATTGGAGATATGACTATCATTGATGATCTCTGATTCTTGGGAAAAATCACCTATAGTCGTTTTTTGTTTGGCTCATTTTAGGCTCCCTGTTTTTGGAGAAACCTACATATATTATATGTATATTATATAATTATATAATTACAATATATTACAATATTATATTGAGGTGGTCTGTGGCTACAGATTGGTAGCACACAGAAAACCAACCCGAGATGACCATTTCCGAGATTTGCGGCCTGCCGCTCCATGGCAGGATTCCACACGCGTTCCATGTGAATCACCTAGGAAGTGGGGTAGCCGGGGTAGCTTGGAGCAAACATGGGGAAAAAAGGCCGGGTTGAACTTCACTCATTTTCAGAGAGGCTGATTTAGTGGCGAAATAGAGGACACCATGTGGTTCTTGTATGTTCTTGTATGTTCTTCTGTGGTTCTATTTCTCTCTCTCTCTCTATGTTTTTATATGTCTTTTTATCATCCAAAAATATGGGGTTCCAGAGGGGCTCACGGCTTGGCAAGCTGATACGTTAGTCGCATTGAGATCAAGGCTGGGAAATACATGTCCCATGGCCAAACATGGTCAAACCATGTTTTGTTTTGGGATATTGCGCTACTCTTCTGGGAAATACAAACAATATATATATATATATAATCAATATCTATGTCTTGACCACAGCACATATGATAATCCTAGAAACCAAACAGTCAACCTGATTGCAGGTCCATCCTCAAGGGGTCAGTGTTGCCAGTTGCAGTTCTGAGGAGCCCTGGCCCAACGAGCTTCTGGCAAATTGAGACCTCAAGTCGTCACTCTCAAATCTCTCAACATGGCAGCAGGTTGGGCCAAGTGTTCTGGTGGTTGCCGAAGTTACTCAAGAAGTAAAGTCAGTCATTAATGGCAGGACACATGCCACCAAGAAGGATCCGACATGGGATGGAATCCGGGATATCCGGGATATCCCGAATGGAATGCAATAGAATATATAGAATTTATTTACATATTTTACAATATTTTACACTATTTTACATACAATCCAAGCTACACCAAGCTACAAAACAAAGCTGGGTGGAAGTTTCGGCCACATCGCCACGAAACTAACACGAAATGGCCGTCACACTGAGCGTCCCAGGGTCCCAGGGTCCCAGGGTCCCAGGCCCACCGCTCCAACCCAAACTGAGAGCAACAGGACCTGCTGCACAATCGCCAGCATAGAATGCTGCAACAGACCCACAAATTGAGGGATAAACACATGGGCCACATGGGTTATCATAAGTTTCCAACTGCTTGAAACATGTCCAGACATTGTGGACCCTGTGGAAATCCAACCTACGATTCATGGAACGCTGGAGGTATCCAGCCACCTTGATCTCCCTATTGGCATCAAGTCCCCACCTGCGAGAATGGCTCTCCCGGAATGGGATCCGCTTTGAAGTGGCTGATGATTCGCTCTCGTTCTGCATGTGGGGTGTCGCCACGGAGGATTCCCGGCCGGACACCAAACCTGAGCTCCGGCACGTGCCGGCGCCCAGGACAATCTGGGGGCTGAAAATGGGGTATACCATGGCCGCATACCGGTATAATTACCCACAGCTATGGCCATTTAAATGGAGAACATGATGAAACATAATGATAAATAAGAACAAACCAGCAAAATTTTGGGGGAACATATTTTCAGACAAACCCAAATGTGTTCAGCTGACCAGAAATCGACAGAACAATCAGAACACAAATCAGAGACCGGAATTGGTTGCAGCTGCGGAGCACTGTCATGCAAAAACAACACAGAATGTTGACACAAAAAAATCTCAAACATACAATGATAAACAATGATGTACATACCAGCATAGTCAAAGGGGTGCTGAATGGATTATAAGTTTAAGGGGTCATGAATGGACACCCCTTAGAACCCATGTTGCGAAAAAGTTCCAAAGAGCTCAAATACCTATGTCCGCTTTCCAGTATGCCATTCAGGGAACACAAAAACGTCCATCACAATCCTGGTGGTTGCAAAATTAGAAGAACGCAACATGTTCAGGTCAGAACAACACGCAATGACACGCACTTGAAGCATGGGACAAAATCTGACATCTAAGGGATACTGAATGGTGACCCCTGTCAACACCCGACACACGCACTGACACGCACTGACACGCACTGACACACGCTCTCTAGGAGAAATATGGTATCAATTTTCTATCAGCAGTTTGGGGGATGCCTAGGTGTAAAATGAATGGAGGCACCCTGAAGTGCACCAAAAGGACTTGATTTTTTGAGGGGTGCTGAATGGTTTCCATGCCTAAGGAGTGTTGGATGGCCATCCGAAAGAAGCTGGTGTGTACATACAGTAGAATCAATGAATAATGAATAAATAAAATGTGTATACATATTTCATTATATATATATACACATTTGGAGCTTTCCTAAAATATGGGTACCCCCAACTCATCCATTTTAACAAATTTTGTTTTCCATTGTAAGACTTGTAAACCAACCACTTTGGGGATACCCATGGATACCCCATCTTTTATTTAAAGATTTATGGAACGCCCCATATGAAAGGCTAGCAGTCCAACAGCCGACCTTCTCGGCTGAGGTTTTGGACTCTCTTTCCATCAATGCTGCCAGGAGTTCGCTGGTCACCTGGTGACCCGTTGGTGACCAGTTCACCCACAATTTGTGCAGGGTAAAGATTTGAACACAAATATGTCATTCATCATATGTATATATTGTAAATATATATATATATGCTGATATAAGATATCATGACATATCATGATAACATATTAATAATTGGAGTGTTGGTTAGATAGCGATAATATATGATAATATACGATAAATTACGATAATATATGATATCAGGCAAATTAGGAGGCCAATCGAGTATAAACTTGCTGCTGCGCTTTCTGAAAGTGCCAAGGGCACCTTTAGGGGCGATCTGCGAACTTGGGCACCCCAGCAGTGCGACAAAAGAAGACCAAGACCTAAAAAAAGCTCGGTGAAATGACCCCTTCATATCCATCATACCCCTTCATCACTAGACATCACTAGACATCACTAGACATCACTAGTAATTCTTGGAGAAAATCAATATAAATCAATGAACATCGAATCTCCACCATCCATTTTTCATGTTCCAAATTCCTCTAAAATAGGGAACCAAATAGCCGCAAGATGCCTCAAGCCTGGCTGTGGCGAAAGGATTCCCATGGATTCCCGAAATCAACTGGAACCCTTTTTTTGAGCCAACCTGGGCTAGTGATTCATCTGGACATTGTAAATGATGTAAAATGGATGAACTCTGGAATTTGTCTGAAACTAGAGAACCCAAAAAACATTTGATGGTTTGATATGGTTCGTCATCATTGAAAAATCATCTCATGTGCCTAATATTGCCTAATTGTCCAAATAAAACCAATTCATCATCGCCATTTTGTGGGTTTACCACGGTTCACCCCAAGTTGGACAGGCCCAACCTTCTCCCTTCGCGCTTGCAGTCCGCGCCTGGTCTGGTGCTTCTTTTGCAGAGATAATCTTGGAAGATACCCAGAGATACCCAGCAAAAAGGCACATTTCTATCTGGATAACCCGACAAATCTCCCATCTGTTGGGCAAAAAAATAGCCCTTTTTAACAGACCCGAGTAACCCGAGTAAGGTTCATGTGGATAAATCATTCAAGTCACTGATCATGTGAATTCATATGGCAGTGTGTCAAAGCCTTGTACCCCTGTAGTTCACATCAAAATAGCTGGTAAATGGATGTTCATCCCCCTAAAAATGCTATTAATAGGTATTGATCCATACCCATATAATTCATGATATGCATCTGTCGCGCTCCCCAAAGATCATCCGGGGCATCCGTGCAAGATGGCGAACAGCTCCGCCGTCCTTGAGGCGAAAAAGCGGCTGGGGCGGTGGTTTTCTGGGTCCCAAACACCTGGGTCCCATGGTTTAGAAACTCAGTTTTTCATCTACCCATGGAATCTCATTATCCAATTTTCGGAGACTGGGACTTTGCAAATGGGGAGAGTATGGACATATTATGGGAACCATTGTTCTCGCACCTATATATATAATTATATAATATTATATATATATATTTAAGATTATTTAAATAGGATTTTCCTGCAACATCTCCATTAATTAAACCTCAACCAATTCCGGGACAAAAATATGACCTGAGCCAGCGACTTACCACTGTCATTGATGTCCTGGTCTTTCGCCTGATCCAAACAATTTCATTACCCAAGAAGTCCATCGGGGCAAAACTTTTACCAAAGGTTGAAACTCTCAAACCCACCTCGCCATAGAAGCGCTCAGGCCTCAACAAGATCCCCAAAATGAAGATAACACGTCTGCATGTGGATATCCAAGCACAAAACATTCACATGATCGCCAGGGCAAAAACCAAGTTTATAAGTTTATATGGCATGTTGAAACGGATCATGCTACCAGGTGCCACCACTTGGTGAAACAGCTCCAACAACCAAAAAGGCAACACGTGATGGCTCTCACTCTTCACTTGCGACAACTTTTTCCCGCAGCATTTTCAACTCAGTTTTCGTGGCTAGACCCTGCAAAAGATCGGCGTCCACAGGGCCCTTGAAATTTGACTGGGCCAAGCCACACAAGATTTGACTCCAACAAGGTTGCGCCCAACACCAGGGCATGTTTTCGGTGACAGCTTTGGCAGCCACACCCCTTTTGGAACATGGTCCAGCATGATCCAAACCATTGCAGTGAGTCAAGCAACACGTGGGTTTGTCTGAAAATATGGCATACCGAAACATATTCATTTTAATTACTGAAACGGCACATATGATAAACAAATCATCAAATTTTGGGGTGCCCTATTTTCAGACACACCCATGTCAATAATCCACGTCAATAATCCAAACAACCCCAGCAATTGGCTGCCGTCCTGTCACCCACGTGGCAAACGCAACCACTTTGAGCAGCTCGCGGTCTGCGCAAGTCTTCTGCTCCCATTCTAGCGTCTCAGAAAATCAGGCCAAGGATGACCAAGGTCATTTTTTCAATCAAGCCATTCACATCCCCAATCGCATTCCCAATCGAAAACCCACCCGAGTTTCCTGAGTTTCCAGTGACGCAACCGGGAAAATCGGGGCCACCGCGGGTGCGGACTGGCGAGAAGCTGAGTCAGCTGCCCTGGAGAATTTCGCTAGATCTATCAAGCTTTAAATGGCCTAAGATAATGGATATTGGATATTAATGGATGATATTAATGGATATTATCCAATTAGTTAATATCCATTTATAGATAGCCTAAGATAATGAATGATAACCCATGATAATCCATATTTGGTGTTGGCTTTTGATGATGAACAATCATATCACAAAAATAGTTGTACCATTCTTAATTCGATGCAGAAAATTCTCAAGCAATTCCCGAATCTAAAACAATCTCAGTAGAACACTCAAACTACTTCCTTACCAAGCCTGTTTAAGACATTTTAAGACCAGGTCTTGATTTGTTCTCACTGTTCTGCCCCAAAAAAACTGCTTCGGTCCATGCCTATCAATCTATCGGTCCATCATCTCAAGGCGGATCTGAGGGCATCTGCATCCACGCGCATCCACGCGCTCGGCTCATAATGGCCGCCCGACACTACTCGGATCTCGGCCATGGATAAATGTTGGTCAAATTTTGCACAGCTGATGCAGATTGATGCAGACCCAAAGGCCCGCTCGCATTAACAGCATTAACATATCACTTATTTTTTCGGTGTATGATGGTGTATGCACATGCACAAACTGAAAGGTGCTATAGATAAACAGCACATACGTCCAGAAAGATAGATAGGCTAAGAATGGCTAAAGGAAGGAAGGATACTTTTAGACTAGACTAAATTGAATTGGATTAGAAAGCTAGGTGCATAGGTCAGGTAGATAGGCAGATAGATAGAGAGACAAAGAGAGGGAGAGACATGTGTACATAGGCAAAGAAATATGATCACATCTATATACACATCCGTAAATAAGCACTCTATTTGTGACATCCGCTCTCTTTCTCTCTCTCTCTCTCTCTTTCTCTTCTCTCGTCTCTCGTCTCTCTTCTCTCTTCTCTCTCTGTCTTCTCTCTCTATCTCTCTCTATCTCTCTCTCTCTCTCACTCTCTCTCTCTCTCATTCTCCGGTTGGGTTGGCATTTGCTGGTACAATGTCTTGGCTGTGTGTGGCCTGGGCTTGTCCTAAAAAACGGCATGCTGATGAAAAATGCATACCCCAAAATGATCCAAAATGGCAGTTTGAAATGGCTTCAATGGAAAATGACGATGATAAGCCATGTTTTCTTTTTTCTTTTTAAAGGGGGGTACCAACTTTTCAGACAAACTCAAATACAGTCTCAAGTCTCAAGGTGTATCAAGCCTGACATGACGTTCGGAACTGGCCGTCAAGCCATCCATCCAGATCGAAATTTGACCAAAGAAGTTTGCCTAGACGATGCCCGGCTTTGACGGGAACAAAGGTAACACAATGAAATTTTGAAACACTGAGAATCCCAAATCACTTCATCCTTCTTCTCCCCCACGAGTCTACTGCCGCTTCCTCTACCCACGTCGAGGGCAGTCAGCGCAGGCAAACATCATGGGCTTGTCAGGGTGCACGCACTGGGTTTTCTTGGAGGACACGTTGGAGCATGCGCACTCACCAACAAAGGCAGCCGCCGCAAGGGGCTCATCATCAACCCCAGCACTCTTGCCACGTCGAGGGCAGTCGGCACAGGCAAACATCATGGGCTTGTCAGGGTGCACACACTGGGTTTTCTTGGAGGACACGTTGGAGCACACAGCCTCACCAACAAAAGCTGCAAGCGCCACCGGCTCATCATCAAGCCCGGCGCTCTTGCCACGTCGAGGGCAGTCAGCGCAGGCAAACATCATGGGCTTGTCAGGGTGCACGCACTGGGTTTTCTTGGAGGACACGTTGGAGCACACAGCCTCACCAACAAAAGCTGCAAGTGCCACCGGCTCATCATCAAGCCCGGCGCTCTTGCCACGTCGAGGGCAGTCAGCACAAGCAAACATCATGGGCTTGTCAGGGTGCACGCACTGGGTTTTCTTGGAGGACACGTTGGAGCATGCGCACTCACCAACAAAGGCAGCCGCCGCAAGGGGCTCATCATCAAGCCCAGCACTCTTGCCACGTCGAGGGCAGTCGGCACAGGCAAACATCATGGGCTTGTCAGGGTGCACGCATTGGGTTTTCTTGGAGGAAACATTGGAGCACACAGCCTCACCAACAAAAGCTGCAAGCGCCACCGGCTCATCATCAAGCCCGGCGCTCTTGCCACGTCGAGGGCAGTCAGCGCAAGCAAACATCATGGGCTTGTCAGGGTGCACGCATTGGGTCTTCTTGCTCTCAACCGCTTTGCGCCTTAGTTTGAGTCCCTAGCTGTCAGCTGACGCTTTCCAGTGTCAATAAAGGCATGATAATGCATGGTACATGCACGTGCTTCTAGCTAAAAGGGACTGTACCAACGCAAGAAAGTAAGAAGTGCTAAGCCAGCCATTTTCAAAAAACTTCCCACTTAGCTCAATGCCAACCCTCGATTAATATAATAACCCCCCAGGTCATTGATCTGGGGGGATGCCGTTTTAGTAGCCACCTATCACTATTATGTGGGCAATGCTGCATCAAATGCCATCAACCAAGGTTAGGAAAACCGGCCTCCAATTTTTCAATCAGTTCCAGTCAGAGTTTAGAGATGTCGCCAAACCCCCATGCGCGTGGTATCGTGCCAAAGGGGCGGAATTTGGGAGCGTCTCTTCACAAACCTGTTCAGAAATCGGGCTGCAACTGTGGAGACACAGACTTATGCAGCATGGGCTTGGAACATCAGCATCAAAGGGAGCATCAACTGGTAGGAACATCAGCAACAGCAGCTTCGCTCTCTTTCCTGCCTTGTCATGGCCAGGGCTGTACTGGTTGCCAGCATGGCAGATGTCAGCCCAATCCTTGGGGGCAGTGGGGCAGTACCCAAAACCCATGTCATTCCCTTCTGCTGCTATTTTATGCTATTTTTAGAGGTTCCTGTGGGCTTGACTGAAATCTGAAAATCGGATATTCTCCCAGAGTGGGCATTGTACATAAGGGGAAAATGATGACCCAGTAAACTTTGAGCATCATATTTTTCAAACAAACCCATGGAATTACAGTAGAATAATCCATAATAATCCCGAGTATATGAACCATCAACCGCCATCCAAAGACCTGCCCGCAGCACAAAACACCCCTATGAGGAGTTTCCACTTTGACCATGGAGATATATGGAGATCATTTGAGTTCAAAGGCCCGGTTGGTGCATTGTGGCAGCCACTGGGGTTCTTAAAGTTACAGCTTTACAGCAAATGATCCAAAAAGGCACCTGACAAGTTGGGCCACTTTGGGATAGTTTCCCCAATCCAATTCCCATCTTTCCAGTGACGTCGCGATCTGAGGTTGCTATGATTCAGCCAAACAACATATGTACCAGCATTGACTGCTGTGTTTTGGGTGCTCTAGCCAAGCTCTCATGTGTACACCATATACACAATGGTCAAGAGATGGATGTATGGGTATATTATCTCCCTCCCTACTAATCTGGTTTAATGGATCGATGACCCAAGGATTGGGTAGATTCGCGGGTAGATAATCCATGTGTTGACTCGGAGCTTGCGTGTCAGTGACTTGCAGTCAGCCATCCCATGCTCTGGTGGCCGGTATGACTGACAAACGACAGAGACAAAACATGCAATGGAACACGCAATGGCTAATTATCGTCTTGACTGGAAGCTTTCTGTTTTCTCTTCTTCTTCATCATCGACGCATAGTGATTGTGTCTTTCAGCAGCGGTTGGTTCATGAATCTTCTCAAACGAAATTGAAGGCCGAACATTCCTGCAGAAAAATCAGAAAATGGGTTGATCCAACTCAACCCCTTTGAGTTTGGAGATGTATTCAGACACATAAAATCACAGAAGTCATAGTTTCAATCATTGCCATTGAGACGGACAAAAAGTGTATCCAAGTGTCGTCTTTGTCGCTTCGTTGCCTGCCACGTGCGAGGAGACAGCAACTTGCCTATCTTTCCTCTGGTAAACAAACAAATGCCATATGGGAAACTCTCTGGGTATTTGCTGTTCAGAAGTTCGGACATGTTCCGATGATCTCGAAATGATGGACATTTCTATACCCATAGGATCCAGGTATGCCATATATGGTAACATTTACCATCAATATACCCCAAATGTTAGCATATATACCATACATGGATCCTATGGGATATATTTTCCATGGATTTCCCGTATCTTTTTGATTCTTTTCGTGTACCCTGGATCTTCATCGCCATCGGTGCCATTGGGTCATTTCGTTGCTTGGCACCTCGAGCCGCAGCACTTGGAGACACGCCGCCTGGCTGTGGACATTCGGTCTTATGGCGACATTTACCAGCAAAATCTAGCAACATCCAGCAACAATCAGCAACATATCCAACATGAACTTGGGATGAACCTGGTGAAAAACATGGGAAAACATGGGAAACATATGGAAAAATGATGAACGACATGGGAAAACATGGGAGGAAATTTAGTGCCGCACATCCACCCCGCACCTGACTGACTCGAAACACGCGGCCGCGGGGCTCCGGTGATGAACGCCGTCCTGCGAAGGCTAGGCTCGGTGCGGGGTGATCCAACGAAAGGTGAAGAGATTGCAACCCATCTTGCGCCATCTTGCCATTGAAAATTTCCGGGAAACCTTGTGGCAAATTTAAAGATGGTTTATCAAGATGTGTCCAATGAAGTTTGGCAACTCTATGAGGCTCATCCCCTGTCTTTCAGACCTGAGCTGCTGTCCCCTCCTTGTTGCTGCCAGCGTCACAGCACCTGGAAATGGTGGGTTTTAGGGGTTGCAGGTTGCCCTAAACCACTGGCCTGGGATGAGCTTGGACCCCATCCACAACTGTATGGTCTTTTCAAGGTTCGTCTGAACATGGGACGGCCCCCCAATGGATTATACAAGTTCAACAAGCAGGGAAATTCATGGAAATTCGGGATATTTCGGGATGTTTTTTTTTCACCAGTGGACATCTGCTTCCTCCGGAGTAGACCTCATCTTCGGAGACGAGATCCCATGAAAACACCGAGCCTGTGACCAGCACAGACTTCGTCATCGATTTGGAGGACATGGCCTGGTGCTCAGGTGCTGGGGTAAACGGGCCATGGGAAGTGCTTCAGGGTTAGCACTTGGCCGAAAAACGTTGCAGTTGTTCCAACTCTTGTGATATTGATATTAGTCTCATTAGTGTGGCATTTTGACCACCTAATCTACCCCCAAAAATGGGATGATTTACCTCAAACATCTACAAGTCATCAATCATCCATGGGTCACTGGGCCTTGGATCGAGCCAGGGAGCTGCCGGGCTTCCGGATGCTGGGGCAAGGTGAGCCACACGTGCTGCCGATCTGGTCTTGACAGTGGCAAAATGCTCAAAATATGCTCGAATTGCCTTGAAAATCATTGAAAGCAGATGAAACCAGTTATATGCCAAACAACATCGGCTAAATTGGCCGCAAAGTCCCGTGTCATCTGCGCCTAGTATAGCGGCTAACCAATCTATTTGATTCTATTCTAGCATGCTGCAATGCTGCATGGATCAAAAGTGAGCCCTAGTTTTGAGCTTAACTGTGCCCCGGGCAATTGTAGCTTGCCTCTACGCACCTCGAGAAGCTCAAGAGTTGAAGTTCTGGTTTTGGGGGCCTCAACATCATCGACTTTTTTAATGGGAAAAACCACTATTTCTATGGCCATTTTCAATAGCTATGTTACCAGAGGGTAAGCCCAAACAGATTCCTCCGTTGGCCAAGGAACCCCTCGGCGAACCAGCGCATCTTCCGTCAGATCCTGGGAGGCGGATCCACTTCAACCACCGGTGAGCACCAAATAACCACCATACGACTATTGATCTGTTCATCATCCTGAGTGATTTAACCATATTTAACCATATTTAACCATATTTAACCATATTTAACCATATTTAACCATATTTAACCATATTTAACCATATTTAACCATCCAAAATGATCAACATGGATGTCTTGATCATGGTTGTACGGCGCTGGCCATTCTCAAAGTCAAGCTGTCTCCCATAGAGCTGACACAAAGTCCACTAGTCCTCACCCCCAAAACGCCATAAAATGTCCTCACCCGTATTGCGCTGAAGATAACACCAGGGATGGCTACAAAGCCTGCAGAACGGCACTGGACTGGCTCTGGTTCTGTCAGGGTTCTGTTAACCCCTGCAGCTAAAGTGGGTGCTTCCGCCCGAGTTCAGGCTGGACGGATGAGCGTTGGGGGGTCGTGGAAAAGGATGATCACACCTACGTGCAAATGTAGGTGGACTGTTCCATGCAGTCCATGCGTGTAGCCAAGTTGATGTCGCAGATTCTGACCTGGCCTTGTACACACTCCCAGGCGTTCCCGGCTCCACTTGGCATCCCAACAGTTCCATGTCTCTGAAGAGTTTGTGGAAGGAATTCCTGGGACAGGTGACCCTGACGAGGTTTCCTGCTGTGAAATCAATCTCTGATTATCCAATATGGAAGCTGGAAGTCGCCAGTTTTGCATCACACAAAGAAAATTGTTTGTTCCACCTCCCAACTCAGGTTGGGTATATCTACCCCCAGGGGGATTTGGCAGCTGTTATAGCAACTTTTAACTAAGTTTCATGATTTTCCACTGCCCTGTGGGTTGTCTCAAAACGTTGATTTGGACCCCATTCAACCCCTTGGCAGTTCGGGGCATCCCAGGCTGAAAAAACATGCGAGAAACATCATCTCACCTCTAAAGTTGAGGTGCTATGACTGTGTTGACAATGGGTCTGCCCAAAAAAGGGGTACCTACCCCACTACAATTGCACTTGAACACGCAGGGACCACAGGGACCCCAGGGCCCTGGCTCGGGTGAATCAAGGCCGTCTTTCAGAACCTGCGATACAAACAGCTGGCCATAAAAAATCAGTGATCACTCTTGATATCTCTTGATCAATTTCATGAGATTGAATTAGATGCGGGTGTTTAATGATGATTATCAATTTTTTGGGGTGAGATCCTTTTTTCTTTACTTGTTTTCTTGAATTGTGGGGATGGTTCAGCAACATCTGATGAATTGCCATGGTGGGGTCTTTCTTAGGTACGAGTAGCTGAGTAGCTATAATTTTCCGGATGGCTCTTGGAGTGTATGACACGACGTGTGTATCTTCTGCCCGCCAAAGGCTCAGGCTCCCCAGAATTTCTTGCGAATCTCTGGCCCAAGTGCCCCATTTGCCATTCATCTTTTTTCAGTCACCTTTCAAAAAATAATCTAACATGCCTAAAGCTCAGGTTAGACCCAACAGCAATTTCATGGCATAAATGATATCCACTAATGTCCAATAAGAACAGTGGGAATATCCCAGCCAGGATCACCCAGGATAGGGGGTGTCAGGAAGGACCTCATAGATCTTTGCTTGATCCTCAGCCATCTTTACTGCCACCTGCAGGCCGCATGCCAAACGCCGATGCAACCAGCAGCAAAGGTCAACTGAGTCAAATTTGGCACTGGATCAATACCCTCTGGTGAACTAACATAGCAATGGAAAATGGCTATTTATAGTGGATTTTCCCATTAAAAATGGTGATTTTCCATTGCTATGTTAGTTCACCAGAGGGTATTTCAATTTTTGAGCGACCTGCCACTGCTTTGAAAGTCCACATGAAAAGTCATGTGGCGAAATGGTCTAGTCGTGATCCAGCACTGTTCAGTAACTCTTGACGAACCCAACTCCACGAGCCCATCACATGTGCATCGCCTTCCAAAATTTTATGCCTTTGTTCATGGGAGTTGTATTCAAACTTCAAAACAAATGTACTGTTCATGCCTGAAACCTCCAGATGCTGATTGAATGGAACTTTGAGCTGCCTAATTGGTAGATCTAGATGAATATCAGCCCTCCCAGAACCAAAGGAGCAGCCCTTCCCCCAATCTCAATCCATTTACAGAAAGCTACTGGCGTCATTCACAGAAGGACACTCGGGAAGGAACAAAGAATCAAGAAAGAAGAGAGCTAGACTCGCTAGACCGCAAGTTGAAGTGAATCAAATAACAGCAGAACAATCACAACTACTTCTTTTCCGCCCGGGAGTCACCACTCAATGCCAGCTCGATATGGGCATGGCTCAAGACAAAGAGGATAAAGAGGATACCAAGTCTTCTGCAGCCACTTGGGGGCTTGCATTCCCATTTTGGCAAGTTCTATGCATCTCCATTTTTTGGCAGTTCAAACTTCAAACCATGATACTGTAGGTCAATATCACCCGCAATCATTTTATCTTACCAAATGTTTATCTATCCCGGATATCCCCCATCCTAATTTCAAACACACATTTTGGGATGTGTCTTAAACTTATCTCAAAATCAACCAATTTCATCATCATTCACCATATTATCCATATTTGATAGAACCATCATATCATGAACATTCATGAACCATTATAGAACCATTATAGAACCATCAGAACCATGGTCCGATTTTCCGGGCGGCCCATCTTTACGATCTGACCTCAACCTCCTCTTTGGCCACCAGCTGAATCGCCTCGCAACAGGGGAAAGACCTCCGGTTTTTCCACAAACCAAAACGTTTCCGTTACCAGTCCTATTCATCACTCATCACATCTCATCACTGTTCATCACCACATATCACCACCAAATCTGTACACATGTGGTGTTCCTGCAACGGTTTCATTTATTGAAGCAGGGAATACACAAGCTGTGAAAGGGAAGTCATCTAGCAACAGCAAGGTCATTGTCGTAAACACCAATTTTGATGATTGGTCCCCCACGGTCCGCATGGATCATTAATATAATAGATAGTGCTCCCAAAAAAACGAAAACACGTCATTTCCCACTATTTAGATCTATTTTGGCAGGATCTTATTCCATTCTATCTTTTCGGTGCCATAATCAGCAGCTCCCCACTCTGCATGTTGATTTAAGGCACCTCCCCGCTCTCGCGTCGCAGCATCAAAAACTGCAACCTGGTTGCTGTGCTGTGCTCATGGCGTTTCCATGCCAAGATTGGGGTTTGTACGACAATGTTGTACATCCCCTTCATGGCAATTCTATAAAAATATAGATATAATAATTATGTTCTAAACTCCCTGAGGTTGGGTTTCCCTCAAAAATTGTCAAACAAACCCATTTGACACACCCAGACAGAAACCAAACGGCATTTGGGGAAGCATACCTCCGATTATATATTTTGATTCAAATGACCAAATCTGGAACTTTGGGACTGATCATAAATTAACCCTAATTTACCACTGTTCCTTGTGATCCAGCGCTGAGCTAGGCTCCGAACAGCTTTTGCAAAGAGGAACGGCCTTAGAAGCTGCTGGGCGCCTTGAAACTTCACCGGCCGAAGTTTAACAACGCGACGCGCCTTCATCGTTTTGAGCAAATTTCTCTCGAAAGTCCTGACGCAACAAGGAGCGCTGAATACAGTCGGTTCAGTCGAGGCAACAGAAAAAGCCATGAATTCAAAGCGGAACATCCATGGTCAAACCAGTGACCTTGAACATGGAAGGCAAAGCCATAGTGGCAGTTTAAATACACTTAGATAATTATATGACAATAGTGACCAAAAAGTGATTAGCATACACTACACACACACACATATATATATATATGTATATACATATACACACATATAGTCTGTATATATATATATATATACATGTACATATACAAACACACACACACACATATATATATATACATAATTACACACACACATATATATATATATATACACATTACCATTACATCTAGTACCATTCCCCCAATTAACACCCTGCCAGCGCTTTAAAACAATCCCCGCCTGCAGAGTTCCCACACAGGAAGGTTCCACCTCAGCTCGCATGTAGGGCACCAGAAAAATCCCATGTTTATACCAGAAAAAACATGGCGGTAATTGGGGCAATAAAAACCCATTTTCAGACACACCACTATTAATCAACTTGTTTTAGTTGTAACCCCATTATATATTACCAGTATTATATTCCCAAGATACCCCTATGGAATTCTTCAGACCTCTTTCGGATACACCAACTCCGCGGTGCTGCACTTGGCAGGTGGCAAATTGGAGGATGGAGTGCATGTCATCCAAGGAATTCCTTGGCGGATGGGGGACTTGAATGGACTTGAACTCAAAGATCTTTCGAAATATGGCCATTATATGTTTATGGGAAAACTGATGACAAACAACGGCATGGAATGGGGATATTCATTTTCGAGCAAATTTTAAATCAAACGATGATCCTGCTGCTGATTTGAAACACATGAGCTGTTGAGTGCATTCTAACAGCACATAACCTAAGCGCACCACTTGCAACATGCTAAAGTTTAGAGACCTTTCCCGCAGTATGATCACTTCATATCACTTCCATCATATTAAGAAATCAACTAAACATGGGGATTGAACCAACCCCCTTTCGGTGACCCCCAACGATAGCGAACCACGAACCGCTAGCGAGCGGCTCAATGGGCGACCCGGTTAGGGCCAAACGATAAGGCACTTCGGATAGTCCTGGGCGCGATGGACCGTAGGATGTGCCGGGAGCCTGTGTGCCATTCACATATTAATATTGAATAATGGCCATATGGCCATATGTTCATATGATTTAGCTATTCGTTGAAGTGTTTCACTCTTATCCATATCTAAATTATTCTAAATTAACATATTCATTCATGTAGCATCATTTAGCTATTGGATGCTATTGGTTGTGAAAGGGGTTGCCCAAGAAATGGGATGCTGATCCAGGCAAAAACAATCACCCGCCCAGCAACCACCGACAGTGGGATGGGGCTCCCCACTCTTCACTGCATGGGAGGTTTGAGATGCGTGGTTCTTGATAGTCTGAGCCTGCCGAGTTCACATAGCGACGGTAGAAACCAACATGGCTCCAATCGTCCAACTGTCCAACATGAGGCCCACGGGATATGCAAGTAGCGGTGATAACAACTGGAAGGCCCAAAACCTCTGGAAATATTGGCCTATTCTACTAATTCTATTGTGAATTGACGTTTACCTTTCAAATTGGAGGCAAACAAGGCAGGCGCAATGCGCTTCCATGCCTCATCCAGCACCACACATGTCCAACCTGCCATAGGCTGTCAGGGTCGGACTCAAAATGTTCAGAGGTCTTGCAGGTCTCTCAGTTTCTTGGTTGGGAAGTGCATGTCATTGCTTTCAGATGCACCTGATCCTGGGAAAGTATATTTTGCATGGGATTTTGCATGGGAGGAGCTAAATCATTGTGCTGGATAGTCGTAAAGAGTTCATGCTAAGGTTTGGCACTGCAAATGCAAATATTGGGAAGCACAAGTTGAGGCCTAATAATATGTTGCCAAATGCAATGCTTTTTGACCACACTGGAAATGGTGCCAGGAAGGCTTTCTTGCAAAAATTTGTCCTGGTTTAGCAGGAAGCTCTCCTTGAAATCGCGGTGGCAATGCTGTGGATCGTTGCAGATGATGATAGCTCCAGCGAAGATTCACACAGAGGTTCCCACATAACTGGTCAAGACCACATCATAAAGCTCCACGATAGGACCTCACTGCATTGAGATCATTGAAGCTTCAAAGTTGCAAAAACTCACAAGCGGGGACATGTTTTGCCACCAAATAAGATTTTAATGGATCTTATTTATGAATTTTATGCATGATGATTCATGCATGACTCTGCACGATTGTAGTTTCTTCCAAGCAGGTGGTAGAGGACCTAAACTCAATTGGTCCAAACAAACCCCGCATCCAATTGGATCAGCCAATGTTCTGAGTGCTCTCGGCCCTTCCAATGTGCAGTGTTCACCTCGGATCGGGCAAATCAGCGCTGCCACAGTCGAAACTTTCGGCTTAGCAAAAGTCAGAGGCATCACAGATGGCAAGTGCTGTAAGGATATGATGCCAATTCTGCAGATCCATCACCCATATTTAAATCAATCATTATATACAGTATACATGTATATATATATATATATGTATATTTGTACTATATACATCTATATACCCTGTAACTCCATAGCCTGGAAAAAGTTGGGATGCGGGTCTACTCCAGGATGACTCACTCACTCTCTCTCTCTCTCTCTGTGTGCACATATACATGTATATAAATATATATATATATAATCACTACCCTTTTCAGGGGGGACGTGCCCAAAATGTAAGCTACATTGTTCAATTTGTTTTTGAGGGGGCCTTGAAAATGTAAGCTTACATTTTGAAGGTATTTTGACAACACTCCCCACAAAAACAACACCTGGGGGACGTTCGGCGACCAATTTTACATTTAAAGGGGGGTCCCAAAAAATGTACCTTACATTTTGGTATGGTGCCGCCTGAAAAGTGGCCTTATATATGGATTATATATACATATATATATAGAGTAAATGGACCACCAGCCAGCTCCAAACAGCTCCAAACAATCGTTTTTTGTGGCGCACCTCGTATCGCAAATCAATGGCACGCTCGCCATGCCAGGACCAGACCTCAACATCTGCATGGCCGAGTTCAGTGGTTGTCTCATAACACATGGGTGTGTCTGAAAATAGGGAAAACTCCTAAACCCAATGGTTTTGCTGATCATTATCCCTATTAAATGGCTATAATTGGGAATATACCCTATTTTCAGACAAACCCAAATGGTCCGGCAAAACCCACCAAATCTCTATCTCAGACACACCTGGTGCTAGATGATACGCACCTGTTGTTTTTGCACCAATTGTTTAGATCATGGTGGTGGATATGATACCGTTCTATGGCGTCGGTGGGTTGACCGTCTGGCAATTCAACAGTTTGCTATCGAAAATCACCATGTTTCTGGTAAGTTATCTATAAATGTGCTTATATTTTAGCATAATTTAGCGATATATATATATACACACATATATATATACATACACATAATTATATATATATAATCATATATATATATGTTAAAATACATTAAATTACCAGGATGGGTAACATTGGTTTTTCATAGTTTTTCCATGTTTTTCCTAGCAATTTTTGTTGGGTTTCGTTGGAAGCCTTGTCGATGATGCTCCGGCAGTCCCCACCTTGAGCTGTTCCTGCCACTGGGCAGAGGCCTTCAGTGAAAATATGCGAAAATGGCGTTGCGCCAGTGGTTCCCGCCAATTTTGATGGGTTTGTCTCGGGTACCCTCTGGTAAACTAACATAACTATGGAAAATCTCTATTTTAAATGGGAAAATCCACTATAAATGGTCATGTTCAATAGCTATGTTAGAAAATGATAAGCCATTGGAATGAGGGGCAGCCTATTTTCAGACAAATCCATGTGGCAATTTGATCAGGGAAAATATGGGAAAATGATGATCAACCCGATGTAGAGGTATAGGTACTCCATTTTTCAGCCAAGACCATTTACAAATGTCTCATGGTCAAGTTACAAGGCGCCTTGGGTTATGGTCAGTTATGGTCATTCACTATCATGAATGGGATTCCCCAATTCCTGGGGATGGCAAAACCCATATGAAAATGCTGGGATTATCATCCCCGAAGTTGTGGTCAAATAAACCATGTACTTGCCTCCCGCAACTCGCGTTGCCAAACGCTGTCTTCTCCTAGCGGATTTGGCTGCGAATCACACCACATGAGATTTTAAAGGCTGTTGATGGCGGCTGATGGCTACCCGGCTACCCATGCTACCCTGGCAACCAATCTCAAAGCAAGCTGTTGATGCACAAAAACATTCTCTGGTTTTCACTGTTCAGCTGGAAAATTTCGCTCAGACCAGACCATTTGCCAAATTTGCTCCAAGATCATGAACGAAAATCAAGCCAGTTCTGATGGTTTTTGAGTGGCTGGCAGTAGTATCTTCATCCCCCCATGCTGATGCTCCAGGGTGCAGGGCTGGCCTCTCACCAACATTGCAGGTGCCAAGACCTTGGAAGATGGTTGGTAAATGGTTGGCAAATCGGTTGGCACATCTTGCTAGAAAGCCCAGCTGGGCTTCCAAACCAAAGCCCTTCCCCAGCTTCCCTTCAGCTTTGGCGCCTTGGGCAGGAATATCTGGCAGTTTTGTGGGAGCTGCATTTGCGGAGGTGTGTGGTGAACACTCAAATTGTGGCTCAATCTAGTAATTTTTTTGGGGGGCTCCTGTATACCCCATGTCCTTACTACATCTTACTACCCTCCCAAAGATTAAACATTTGGTTGTAATATACTCATTCACTGGTGTCATACCTAAACCATAGCTGTTTTGAGTCGCCATAGACCGGTTGAGCCTGCATTCGCAGGAGTGCTGCTGCAAGCCAGCACAACGCAGGGTGGAAGTCTGAATGTCCAGCCATGTCAGGACTATCAACATATTCCAATGCAACTCCGACATTCATATGGAAAGTGTCGGGTCCTGTGTCTTTCATCGATACTGCCAAACCGAACCAAAATTGGTCAATTTGGATTGGTAAAGATGCGGATTTTGAGACTCCAAGGTTGCAAACCGCCTTGGTGTTCTGCACGTGGAGGGTCTGTGAATGGCTGGCCATCCCCATCCCAAATTGATGAATTTGCAGTAGACTTTTTGGGGATCTTCACGTACCACCCACTTTAAAGGGCTTTCGACATGTTTCGACCCATACCCGCCATACCTGTTGTCCGCTCCCCCCTTTTAATGGCATGGTCCCTTTGGGGCACGCGCTGGCACCAGATGGCAAACACCCTTGGGGGTGCCACGTCTACACATGGTATTGGCAGGGCAGTGAGCATTGTCCATCCTGGGTCTCCTCACCCAGGCCAGTCGGCCAAAGAGGTCAGTAGACTGTGATAGATAGATTCTGATTGCCATGATGATAGTTGTATTGGGGGTTGGCAAATGGCACTTTGATACATCACCCATAGGATCCATGTATGCTATATATGGTAACATTTACCATCAATATACCCCCAATGTTAGCATATATACCATACATGGATCCTATGGGTCATGATTCATTCATTTCTGCTGACAAATATCAATGATAAATCACAACCAATTCTGCTGACTGCTCTCAACCGTGCCAGCCAAGGGCGCCGGGTAGGTGGCGCTTTGCGCCGATGGCTATGGTCACTCCCGGGTGCATGATAGAAGCACCACCCAAAAAAAGAGTGAAAGCTCACCTAGCATCATCTGATTGTGCTTCACAAATGGGGAAGCCTTTCAATACTTTTAGCATGAAAACGTCCTTCCACATCTTTCCATATCTTTCCAACATCTATACGATACATTACGAGGTCAATCAGCATCAACCTGCATAGGCTAGGACGGTACTGTGAAGCTCTCCTACACAAAACGCTTCATCATTCCGACTCGATTTCGTCTTCATCCTCATCACCTTGGATGTGCGATTGCTGAAGGACTTCCCAATGGCATGAATGGATCCATCATTTCGGATGGATTCCCGATTCACCCATATAAAAAAAAACACTGTGATTAGAATCATATTTGAATATGTTTATATAAATATGATTAAATCATCTGTTGCAAATATAGCAAACCCAGGTCACTCTCATCACTTCCAACGTCATAGAGCACATGCTGTATCTCCCGGTGTTGCTCTCGGTTTCTCATCCTGGCAGGGCAGTTGCGCCTGCGACCCTCCAGTTGTCGCTTAAGTTTACTAGGAAAATGATCACCGATGGGGATTTTGATGATTTTGGATGTCCTCTTTCCAGACTAACCTATATAATGATCTTGAGGCACATTGTGATCTTTATGGCTGAAAAAGAAGTTGTTTATTTGCAAGCAGAAAATGCTCATCTTATAAACTCCTCTAGGCTCAAATACTTATTCGTACAAATCTCCAAACGTAGATTCTTTGCAAAATATCGAAGGTTTGCTGTCAACCTCCGCCGCCGTGGGGATTTGTGAATGGCCGGCAGTGAAATGGGCTTGCCGCGCACACCTCAGAGGTTCAAGAGAGAATGGAAACAAAACAAAGGTGTTCTTCGGGTTCTTCAGTTTGCCACTGAGGCTTTGGCACACACAGAAAAGACCAGCAACCAGTGAACCAGTCGAAGAAAGAAACCACCAACCGTCACCAATCCACTTTTCCCCTAACATTCCCTGACATCATTCAAGAGGTCGATGAAACCCACCAAACTCACCGAACATGTCCACAGGCTTGGGTTGAACACGTTTAAAAATCCCTGTCCTGCCTGTCCTCCCCGTCCTTCCCAGCATCCCCAGGACGTCTGAGGCACTATTCACCGCAAGAGTGCGCGGAGATGGAAGGTCATCTGTTGCAAGTGGCTCCATTCCAGTGTAATGCTTCAAGCCTAGGCACTGTGGCTACGGCTCGAGACATCTGAAAAAAGTTGCGCAGTTGATTGTTGCGGTTGAAGACATCTGCGGCCCCAACTCCGCAAAGTGTAGGCGATGGAAGGCTTATAAGGCTTAGCTGCTGTATAAAGGTTTGCGACAAACCTTTTCTGGCAGCTACGACTGAATTGTGAAGATCACCAATAGCTCTTGAAGACCCCCTGGGCCTAAGGGTATGTGGCAGAATACCCAGCAGTTTGGTTCTGCTTTGCATTGGCGTTTGCGGACCTTGTATGGGGTTGATTCAGACTTTGGAACCCCAGAGTCCCATGTTTTTTGCCTGAGGGTTCATCATCAACTTAGCCACAAGTTTCCAAGGGACATTCCTCCATTGCTGGTTTCTCCTCCAAAAAGGAAGTAAGCTTCTGTCCCGCCTCGGAAGTCACAGCTGATTTAGATCGGCAGGAGTGGTGCTAGAGTTCCTCTCCTGTAGCCAAGTTCTCTATCTTTCAAGCAAGAAGATCCGAAACTTGAGTCAAAAACGATGGCTACTCACCTAGCCACAAATAGGGCACAAAAAGGGGAATGTTTCGCTGGATCTCTACCACTTCGCCCGAGTCACATGGGGCCAATCGTACTTTGCGCACTCAGCCAGTCGTTCCTTTGTTGCGGGATCCTGAACATGCCAAGCCGACAAGTTGGCAAGTTGACATGTTGCGCTCCTCATGGACAATCCAACACATCACTGAACTGTCAACTATGTTTTAAGTTTAATATGTTTTTTATTCTTCAATTTAATATCGCTACCCAGCTGCCAACTACTGTCAATAATGTCTTCTCACCTTGGGAGTTCCCAATGGTTCCCGAAAGCCCCGAAAGCCCAATGGCTCCTCGGGGAAGTACGCCATCAGCAGCTTGGCTCCGATGGACCTGGGCTCTTCGCCTCGATCTCCAAATGGGCATAGCACACACAGATATGTATAAATAAACATATATACATGGGTGGGTATATATATGTACATATGTGAAAGTATACAGTAACTCAGTAGACACTCACACACATACGCATATATATATACACATATGAATGTCTGAAATGCAATTTAATGCGATGCAATGCGATGTATGTATACAGTACAGCATCTCTCCATCGCCATCCCGAAGGTTCAGCTAAGGCTGAGGGCAAGTTGTTGGCCCAAACAAAAGGAGCTGTACTTTATATCCATGGCAATTTTGTATCATTTATATATTGTACTTAGGGATTTTCTATTGCCAATTGCCAAGTCCGGATGCCGAAAAAACAGACTTGGCAGACAGCCTGACCAGCCTGACTGCCAAGTCGCGTCGCTCATCCGCGAGCTCAATCATGGCATTTAGCAGGCCATTCTGCAACACTGCTGTCGGACACCCGAAAATCCGTGGTTCACATAGTGGTGGCATCATGAAACCAACGAAGTTGTTATTTTATTTATTTTTGGTTTACCTATATCATGACATAGCATGATGACACACACACACACATATATATATATATACCTTTCATGATAACCTCAACAAGCAAGCCATGATAATCATGACATGGCAGTTACATCTGTAATTTTGTTCGTACATATGGGTGACATTATTTTAAAACACACCGAAAACCAAGTTTTGTTTGACGGACACTCGCAACATACCAAGACACTCGCAAGGTGTCAGAAGCTTTGGCCGTCATCATCCAGGCAGCAGCTACACCTTCCAGGGCCTGGCAGTTGGGGAACTCAGCACTCGAAGCACTCCTAGTTGATGTATCGTGATCTATGCTGGTGATTAAGGTTTCTGAATAATATGCTATAGTCATGTTTATGGGTGAAAACATGTTGACCGTAACACATATTTGAGACCACCGGCTGGATCAAGTATTATATATATATATCCCGGCCCCAGTACATGACAGGCCCATGATATCCCCGTTGTGTACCCCAAGAAGCACCTCGACACATCCAAAGTTCTACTCGGAGGAGTGATCCGGTTGGTTATTTTGTGGCCGGTATTTCACAAAGCTCAAACAGAATATCCCGGTTCCCACACGGCCACAGTACATCACAGTACGAGTATATCCCACAAAGTTTATCCTAATCGCATACCCTCCGGCAATTGAAGACAGCTATGGAACATGGCCCATTTATACAAAACAAAAACATTTCCCCGTTCAACATGGTGATTTTCCATAGCTTCATGAAATCGCCAGAGCGTATTCCCAAATTTGTTGGTAATTATAGCCCATATTAGAGTTGTCTCCGGATGACCCCCCAGTCCCGGCATAGCGCCCCCATCAAGGCGTCCTTCTCTGCGTCCTTAAACTCCTCAACAGCATGTCGCCAGCCCGATGCCTCTCCTGAGCTGTGCGGGATGTCTGCAAGTGGTGCACCCCCAGTTGTGGTCATCTTCAACTAGGAAAATGATGCCTATTTGATCCTATTTGATCCTATTTGCATGCAAACCCATCTCATTCCAACTTGAGAACAGGTGCCATGCTTACTCATGCCCACCCCCCAAATTCAGTGGTTGGATCATGTGATGTAGCCCTTGTTCGCCTGTATACCCCGTCAAAGTCACAGTGCCAAGGATCTCAGGATAAAGGTTGTCTTGCTGAAAGCCTCCTTCAATGAGTTTTTCGCCGTCTCCACCTTTGTGAAGAAACTACGGAACTAGATTGGTGTATGGTGGTATATGCAAATCCCAGCACACACGCAAACGCGCGCAAACGCAAACGTACACACCGGCATCAAAATACGTGCATGTGTTTGCATACATTGTTCTATCAGTTATATCATACAATTATATCTATTTTGGGGAGTGCCTTGGCCTCTTTTTCTGTGGAGGCCAAAGGCTATGTCTTAAATAAACCCAATTTACATAAATTATTTCCTAAACCAACCCTAAGCTGGAAAATATTTGAAACTATTTCTTAAATAAACCCAATTTACAGAAACTATTTCTTGAATCAACCAAATTTGCAGAAACTATTTCTCAAATAAACCCAATTTACAGAAACTATTTCCGAAATAAATTCAAATTTAGGAAACTTTTGAAAAATAACCAATAAATTATACATCTATAAAAATTAAAGAAGTAATGCAAGCTAGGTTTTTCTAGGGATTGGTTTGCAACGGTTTGAAACGGTTTCGGACTATTACCTAGCAAGTAGATGCAAGTAGCGGGAAACGGTTTGAAACGGTTTCGGACTATTTGCTACTTAGCCATTCTCAAAAACTATTTGAAACTGTTTGAACCTTTTTGCAATTTTTGCCAGGGTGAATTAGCAAATAGTAGGAAACGGTTTCGGACGTTTTCGGACTATTACCTAGCAAGTAGGGGAAAACAGTTTGAAACGGTTTCTGTGATACCCTTACTCTGCCTTAAATCATCAAGCAAGACAATTTACCAATAAAGATAAATAAAAACCTAAGTTGACAAATTTGGACACATTATGATATATTGATCCTCCGTGAATGTGCCCTAGACTGTGGCTGACTGCATTCTATAAACATTTTGGTTTATAAAATGATTCTGAGGGTGCTTTTTTTTATAGAATGAATCTGAGGCATATTTATGGAATGGTCCGGCAAGTTTAAGGATCTGAGATTTCGATGGTTAAAAACGCCAAAAATTAACTTTATAGAATGAATTGGCTAGTCACAAGTAAAAAAAACAGGAGGAAAGCCAGCAGGACATGTCGGTTTATAGAATGCTATTTCAAGTGCATGTTTGGTCCAAACATTTCGAAACAAGTCTGTTACTCGAATCGAACATGACACTCCATGGGATTTATGGAATGCATCTACCAGGATGGTTAACTTCGATTTAACATCCATTTTTTGGAGCATTTTGGCTTTTATGGAATGAGTTAAAGGGTTGCAAAACCTTGGTTTTATAGAATGAGTAGGGAGGGTTCATGTACTTGCTTGTTCCAGCCGGTCCGATCGATTCCCCCCAAGTCTGGGTTTATAGAATGATACCCAAAACTGCATTCCATAAACGACCACAAACTCATTCTATAAAGGTACATTAGCAGGGGATATATATTGAAATTCTTTACAGATTGAAAAGTAAGAAAGAAACAGTGACTGATCCTGAGATGAGGAGTCAAAGAACATAGAACGAAACAGAATGAAGAATGCCTGCGCCAACGGCCTGGCAGCCTCTCTCTCTCTTGGTGAGAACATGGCTCACTTTTCTGGGGCAATCTCTGGACTTCCAAGTGATTGACTGCTATCCTTGTCCAACGATTGAGATTGGTAAAAGCAATCCTGGTTTTGTCAATGGTTTTTGGGTTTGGGGCCTAGGTTAAGCAATAGTTTCCAGGATTAAAGAAATAGTTTCCAGGATTGAAGAAATAGTTTCTAGGATTTAAGAAATAGTTTCCAGGATTTAAGAAATTTCCAGGATTAAAGAAATAGTTTCCAGGATTTAAGACATAGTTTTTGGGATTTAAGAAATAGTTTCCTTTCATATTTGCATCTTAGGAGGGTTAAGCTGGTAGGCTCCCGCCGAAACCGGACTCCCCAGGCTCCCCCGACAGACCGTGACAAATAGAGAAAAGTTCAGGCACACACCAGTCCGTACTTTTGGGGGAAATCCCCGACTTGGGTATCCTCGGAGGTGCCTAAAATGCGATGTGGCAAACGCCTGCTAACAACATCCCCCAACTCACCCGCAAAGGCTATCAGCCACATGGTTTTGTTTTGGGAACAATTTTCTTGGATCCCACTTGTGGGTATCGCGTGTGGAAGTATTCGCGGCGTTGTATGGTGCATTTGGCAAAAACTGCATTGGGACAGGGTATGTGTTTATGCTGCTGTTTGATACACCCTTTCCTGGATTGAAACAACATTACAACTCAGTATGGCGCGATACTACTCCCAATTGGATTCAAGGTTTCAAGCGTCAACAGTTTCAGTGTGGTGAGCCATGGGTGAAGGAGGCTCGTACCATTAAACTGGCATGTGGGGTAAAGACATGAGTTCTTTCTCACCACAAACTACCATTGGCAAATGCGTGTTCCAAGATTGACCAGGTTTGCCCTGACAACATGGTCAATAACAACTTTTACTTGCAAATATTACCCCTTTGATTCAAGTAATGGTTTCTGGAAAATCAAAATGATTTAGCAAATGGTTTCTACTTTACTTGAAAAAATGTTTCTACATATCCTACTTCTTTAGCAAATGGTTTCTAGTATTTAGCAAATTGTTTCTAGTATTTAGCACATGGTTTCCAGAATTTGGCAAATAGTTTCTCGTATTTAGCAAATGGTTTCTAGTATTTAGCAAATGGTTTCTAGTATTTAGCAAATGGTTTCTAGTATTTAGCAAATGGTTTCTACCTGTGCGAGAAATAGTTTCTGGATTTTACAGAAATGGCAAATAAAGAAGCCAACACACTCCACAATATCATACTGTATCTATCAATCAATCTATCTATATAATCTGATCTGATCTCATCGAATCTAACCCTGCCAAATCCTAATCTAATCTAATAATCTCATCTCATCTAATCTATCTATATATTAATATATATCTATCGGTGTGTGGGTGTGCATAATTTATAGCAAGGCTTTCAGTTGGTTCCTTCGATTCTGTTCTTGGAGATCTACCATGGTCAATAAGGATCAATAGCAACCTGGACCAATAGCAATAGGAAGATGGAGATTGCAACAAAACATGTACCATGTGCCATATGTGCCATATGTGCCATATGTGCCATATGGGCCATATGGGCCATATGGGCCATGAAGGCCATACATGTTTATGGCACATTTATGTGCCTGTAAATTCTCGAAACCTGCAACCGCGATACGTGTTTCTTCAGCCATGCGGTGCGGGCATTCTCTGGATCTTCAAGCCTGTTGCTGTGCGGCAGGCACGGCGTGGCTTCACCATCTTAGACTGGGTGGAACTATACTAACGTAGCTTGAATCGAAACACCTCATCCGATAATAGATACCTCCTAATCATGTTGGATCTTGTTATATCAAATTGGATCATATTGATCATATCAATTGTATCATATCAGATTATCTCATACTATATCATATCATATCATATTGATTCATATCATATCATATCATATCATATCATATTGATTCATGGCGTGCATCCACCAAAACTATCATTGCAGACTATAATAGATATAATATAATAATAATATGATATAATATGATATAATAACAACACATTCGAATAACAATAAAAACAACATCATCACAATGGAGGTAGCCGCGTAGCCAGGTTCTTGCCATGCCAAGCAACGCCAAGTGAAGGATGCTGCAGAAACTCCTGACCTTGTCCACCGTTGAGTCCACGCTGAAGAGTTGCCGCACCGAGATCAGTGTGGTGATGCCTCGCATCTGGGACTTCACATAATTTCAACTATAGGTCTCCCCCAAACAAAAGGGCCATAAAGGGCCTAAGAATAACTTTAGATGCAAGAGAAAAAGCTTGTAGCCCTTAAGAATTTCAACATCTTTTCAAATGCCGTAAAATTTGGATTATCCATATATCACCAACCAAAGAACCCCAATTTGGGTCTGGTCATCTAACCAGCTGGATTCTGGCTTCCCAGGCACGCGTCTCCCACAAGGAGGTCAAACTCTTGGCAGCCAACTGTGCCGGTTTTGCGGGTCATCTTTCGATGTTTAAAATGTGGTAATTTGTGATAAATATAATGGGATTGTCCAAAATTAACTGTTGGGATTATGTTAAACATATTTTAAGATTCTCAGATTTGTGTTCACATGTTGAGATTATCTAATGGTCGCATATGGTCACGATTGGGAGTATCTAATATCATGATTAGAAACAGTTTTGCGCTTTCTTTTTATGATGATTAACATTTAAATCATACCCACACCGTGTGAATATATATTATTGAGTGGCCCTGTCCTATGTTACGCAAGAGCCCAACTGTTGCCAACCAGTTCAATGTTGTTCACTTTGGGGATCCCTTGCTGGTGTTGGATGTGTCATGATAGGAGAAGGGATTGCACAAAAAAACATTTAACACTTCAACGCTGCACCTTCGAAAAAAATGCTTAGCACATCTCAGCACGTGAATTTTGATTCCTGTGCCATCTTAGAAAACTTTTGCCACACTTTTTCTGGTTCTGTGCTGAATCTCTGTCGTGCCCCGTGGCCATGGCGCCTTATCAAAACGACCTTCCACTTCCAGCCATCGACCCATGACCTTCTCAAACTCCACTGCCGCGTATTCCTGACGAATGCCATAAACCTGACAAAGGGCCGATTGGATGCGGGTGACTGTCCGAAAATGGGCGGGATATTCCAAAAAATAACGATTTTGATCAACTTGATACTTAAACACACGATGGTCAACCATGAAGTTTGGCTATATTCTGGTGCACCCTATCAAGAAACAACCCATTGTGGCACAACATATCACAACATACGTAGCAAAGCCCCTTTTGGATCCCTCGGGACATCCCACGGCGACGGCCGAGATGCACGATGTCGCTTCTTTTGGCCATTCTCCTCATGCTCCTGGCTGATGGGATTCGAGTGTTCGGGTGACCATGGTGAACTGTCCTGTGAGCTCACACTTTTCCCCAAAAATTGGGGCGAATCCAGGGTTTTTCAGCTCTGGCCAGTAAAGAGTTAGTAAAACGCTGATTTTCGCGGTGCTGATTTTCTGGGTCCGGTTCTGCATTTTTCTCATAATTTGAAGACACAGGTGCAGGTGTCGAGCTTGGGGAAGCACGTCCAAACAGGATCCAGTTCCATCCAGTTCCATCCAGTTCCATCGTGCCGCTGTCCTGCCAGCGACAGTAGAAGTAGTTGTTCTTGGACTTCCTTAAGCGATCGTCCAAATATGCGAAGGCATAAGCCTGGGGCCGTGGAACATCGTGGAACTGGGTACGATGGAGCCACAACCGGGTCGTGGCTAATGTGGCATCCAATGACTGGCAAAGTGCCATAGATGGGTTCATCATTGGGCTCTTTGATCAAGGTGATTTCACGGTAATTTAAAATTATGTAAAGAAATTGTAAATATAGAAAAGGCATGAAAAGGCTCAACAAGTGGGGTCTCTGCTGTTTATCAACCAAGTATAACCTTAAGTGATATAAACAATGTACAATTGTACAATGCTACCAGACACGGGCGGTAACAACATGTATATAATAGTAATAACATGTAATAACCATCCCCAGATCCAAAAGTCCTATTTGAATCAGATGTGGATCACCTCAGGGCATCAAAGTATCTCAAAGCGAGCTGCCGCTTCCTCGCTGGTCTTCAACTTCGCTTTGGCTGCAGTCCTTTGTTTAGGTACCACATGGTACCACATGGTACCACATCCTGCTGAGGCATACCCTCCAGTAACGGAACATAGCTATGGAAAATCACAATTTTAGAAAGGTTATAGTTATCGTCTATAATTAATTAAATAGCTTTGTTAGTTTACTGGAGGGTGCCAATCACCAAGAAGATAGACATGCAAAAACATCCTTCGAAATAATGCTGATGATAAATTGAACATAATTGAACCAGTTCTATCTTCTTGGGGGTTAATCTAGATAGTGACTGATGGTGATATTGTGGACCATCATCTCATTCCCATTAAAATCATTATCATGTGTCAGGATGGACCGTTTGAAGAATATGTACGACTGTATGACTTAGAATGAAACAACTAACCAAATGAATTGTAGAATAATGTCAACCCCGGATTAATAAACCATGGTTTATTAATTAGGGGGGTACTCCTCCCAATTAAACAGCCTAGGGGTTTATTAATCCAGGGTTGACATTACAGAATGCATCAACACTCTTGGTACACAAAACACAAAGGAAAATCCCGTAGTTCACAGTCGGCTGCCACCAGCTGAGACTCCATTCTGGCTTCACCAAGCCCAGAGCGTCCTGGCGTCCCGGCCCCCGAAAACATTGATGGTTTAATAAGTTTAATATTGTCACAATGGAATAAGCAAACACATATTGTAACAAGAGGATGTGTGTATCTCCTATAGCTTATTCCATACAAAAATCCTGGCAGGATGATACATAAATAATATTATCATACAAGAGGATGTGTATATCTCCTATAGTCCCAAAAGCTTGCGAGACACTTGGATTGATCTTGACAAAGGATGTGGAATAGATTGGACACAAAATGGCAAGGTCGTACGAAAAGCTGCTGCGTGGGAGCTGCTAGGAGCATCCGCAACAGTGCAACCCAAGAAGATTGCTGAAGATTGCGGAACCATTGACTACAGCCATGATCGAATCTGTGCAAAAGTGGCTGGAACATATTGTTTCTCCATATTTCTCCATTAGACTGGCACCAACAGGATTCCAGAGCCCAAAGTTCCCGCACTTTAAAGCTTGAAATTTCAAAATAATCATCCCGTAGTTTTAAGCTCCCATTTCAAGCATCCATGGCTTCTTGGCAAATTATGGTAACCATGGAAACATCAGTTCGCCATGTTCACCTTCCAGCCAAACCAAGCGCAGCCAAGCGTCAGTGCCCGGGGCCAAACGGCCGCGGTTGTAACGGAACTGCATTTCCTCCTCTTCCAACTCGTCTTGATCTAAGTCCCAGTCCCAGTAGGTACACGCATTCAGGATCTTTTTGTGCTCCTGGCAGGAACTGCCCCCAACTGCCATGCAACCAGGGCTGGACACAGACATAGGCCCTATAGGCCCACCATGGGCTTCCCGCATCTGGGAGGTGTCCAAACCATACACGACAAAATGTCTGACAAAAAACAACCTCGGAACACCATCCACCAGGGATTTTGGTCATGGCCCACGGCCCTCTCAGCATTGAACACTCTCAGGAAAATGAACTGATGCTATCACTGTTTCGAGGCCCTCGGCGCCCAGCTGCGGAGCCTTGAGAAAGTTGTTATACTCTTTCCGCACCTCGCAGTTGACCTGGCCACGGCTGGAAGAAAAACAACACCTGGACCTGCACTTTTGGCATCCATGATGCTAGAATATGCAGGTGCACAAGTATAAATGTGTTATCATTATCATCCATTTCTCCATGTTTTACTTATTTTTTGATATATATATATATATTATGTGTCTGTGTGTGTTGTTTGTCCGTATGCATGCATACATACCATTATATATTATATACCATTATACCATACCATGCCACACCACCCCGTGTACCATCCGCTACGTACGATAACGTATCGTTCTGTTCTGTGACGACGTGTTTTGTTACATTACTACATTACACTACCGTATCTGCCTACATATATGTCAGAGTGCATTACGTGGCATTGGTATCATTGGTGTTCCCTTATGAATCGCCACAACGACAAAGCATGTGGCTCTTGAGGGATTCGGAAAGGATTCACATGAAGTCAGACTAGGCTGGTAAAGTAGGTGACTAGTAACTAGTAACTACTGTATCGGTAAAGCCAATCATGACGATTCATAAACCATATCCCATTATCCCATCTACATTTGTTGAACCATTCAGTGGGTATTGAACACCATACCCCCAAAAAATTGATCATTTGAACCACTGGGTTCACGGCTCCTTACTCCAATCCCTGTTGATTGCCAGGGCAATCAACAACTCCAATCGCCCATGGCCTTCGCGATGCCCAGCATCATGACTTTCCCAATGATCTTGGGACTGGTTTCAATCGCATCAGCTGGAAGATTGAGGCCGTCTTCAAGCTCTTGGAAGGAGTAATGCACCATTTCGTCACGACCTCGGCCGTAAACCCAAGTTCGTGGCATGCAGTGCTTATGAAGCCGTCCAGGGAGGTTGAAGCAAAGCAAAAACCGTAGCAAATTGAGCCAATTCGGATGTGGCCCTGGGGTTCATCTTTCTCAACTGTCATGTCTTGGAAGCATTCAAAACCCATCTACTCCCACCTGTTCCAACCAACATGGGCTTGGTACCTGAAAATTGGCCCCAGTCTGCATCATTATCATCATTCCATGGTTTAGAACCTCATTCTGCCATTTCATGTCCCCAACACATGGGGAGGATGATTCTGGCGGATTTGTTTTTTGCCAATCCCATCCCTCCCATCCCCATCAAAATCCATCAACTTGGCACCGATGAGTTCTTGCGAGGGACACCAATCGGTGATCTCTTTGCCTTCGCCCACCATGGCGGTGAGGCTCGTCAGTTCCTCCGAGATCCTGGCCGTCTCGGCTGGGAAGTGACCCACTGACCTGGAGCTCAATTAATGTGTGCGTGTCCATATTATAATATACAGATATTTATATAACATATATATATATATATTATATTATGTTATATATATATATATATTATATAAAAATATAATATATGGTCGAAAAAATGGAAATCTATAGAGACACATGATAAATTATACGTTTATTCGAAGGTATGGTGGAATAATGTTAAATGGATGGTCACACAGTATCTTGACATACGCATAGATATTTACATGCTCCTATCTAACTGTTACTAGTTATTATGGTTATTATGGTTAGTTCATGTTAGTTCTGGTTTTGGCCAAATCATCAACAGGACCGATAAGTTCAAACCCCGGAGGGTCGATATTTTTTGACGAAGCTTCGCCAAGTCACGTCGCTTCGTCTTCAATCTCCGTGTTCTCTGGGGTCACTAGCCTGGCGCTTCGAAGTTCGGAAAGGGCACCTTCGATTTCGAGGGCTTGAGATTTGGAAATGTTGGGAAAACCTGCAGGAAACCTTGGTTTCTACAGCTTCTACCCCCAAGGGTGTGAATCTTCACTTCAAGAGTTCCTATTCATTCCAGACTGCAATGGCCAAAAACTGGCTGAAGCACCACGCATTCAATTCTTAGGGGCTTTGTACTTCCCAATATAGAAGGCTAGTGGGGTTATCATCCCTCATCAACACCTTCCCATGTTCAGTCGGTTACAGTAATAAATCTCGCCGTTTTTGGCCAATGATTGGAGTGGGATTGAACAGGCCCCCTCAATGCTTGATCATTTCCCTGCTCCAAATGGCCATCTTCGGGATATATGGACGGACTTAGCCAAGTATTAAGATATATCAGAACATAATTATTATTATTATATATATAATATATCATTATATATATATATCATTATGATACTTAGCCAGAATATTGATCAAATTATTCTGATCATGATTATATCCCAAAATTAGTATCCCCATGATATCACCCACCAATACCCAGCTTTTTCCCACGTCAGCTCCGGCCTCAAGCGCTGCGGTGTGAGTCGCAGCTCGCGGCCCACTTTCTCCCGGAGCTCCGCACCGTTGCCCTCGAAGTGCTGCAGATCCAGCACCGACTGCGGGCTTTTTGGAGAAATGGCTGGGATTTTTGGATGGGACATGTCCATAAATCTGGGTAAATTATAATATTTCACTAACCTGAATTGTTGGGCCATTTTGGGATGATTCCCCTTACTAACTATGATTTCCAGTGAGGTCGTTATAATTTACCCAGATGAATAAATGTCCCATCTCAAAAAACTTAGCACAAAATGAATCAAAATGACAATTAAGATGAGTTCTGATCAAAACACTGCAGGAAAATAAGCACAAGTTCATACTTTATGGATCCTTCTGGTGTGATTTCCCTTTGGAGGGGACCAAATAACTTGATAATTTGATAGATAGCCGCGCCCAGCCCAAAAGAGCCACAACACAACTGTAGTAGTAAATCAGCATGGAATTACTTTTCCCCTTTCTTGTAAAGCACATCAAATCATCCTAAGATATCCTGAGTCCCCAATATTTGGATGCCCAAATTGCCATGGCTGGCCCACGAATGTCCAACAAATATCACTCGATCCCGCCTTCCCGCTGATCAGACTGACAGTGAGTGGCATGACTGGGCGGATGTGATGTCGGGCATGTTTTCAAAAGGAGAGAGGGCCAAATCCAATTCAAATATGTAGAACTGCACAATAAATAACATTGCATAACTGCATGAAATGTAATGTAACGCAAATGTTATAATGTGATTGCTAATGTTAATGTTCATGTATAGTATCATGTTGTACAATGTTACTCATAGACAAAATTATGCATCAACATGCTTTCGGATACCGTGCACAAGGATGCACAAGGCGTCTCACATGCAAGGGGAGAGAAACAGCTCCAAGACAGAGTTACTCTCAGTGGTAGCGCATTCCCTTGGAACAAAACCGCCCAAACACCTGCCGCGAAGCCAATGGCTGCCCCCCACCCAGCCCGCAAATCAAGGGCCAAAATGCTTCTGCAGACCAGTGCAGACTGGTGGACCGGCATATTTTTGCGAGAACGATTTCGGATACATTTGGGACCTTCGAGGGACAATGAATTCCATCATCATCATCATCATCATCGTCGTCATCATCATCATCATCATCATCGTCGTCGTCATCGTCATCGTCATCGTCATGGTTGTGAATGCCCCCCTCTTTTGACATCATTCGTATCATTCCATCCAAACGACCATGGTGTCTGGGGAGGTAAGACTGATCCCGCAATAAATAATAAGCATTAATAAGCTTTAATAGGCCTTGTTCCTTGACGAGTACACCTTTGTCACAGGACCCAGCCCCACAGAAATATAAACCCGTTTGTGGCCAGGGAGGTTCCAAAAAAGGCACTGAGGTTTTGGCACTTGAGTCTTCACCTTCCGTTGAAGTTACCATGCTGGATCACGACAGGTGCTGAGATCATCCATAGATCTTTTTACTGTGTATATATATATATATATATCTATATCCACTGACATATGTTTGAAATTTTCAGAGGTAAACTCAGTAAACTCCAGAAAAAAAAGGAATTCCCTGGGGTCAACTGTTTATGAATGATGGACATCATCGCAGTGGCGCCTTTCTCAGAGGCTTGCCTTGGTTCAACAGAGGCGGGCTCGGAACTCAGCCTGACGTGGGTCTAAATCATAGGAACTCATCATTGACCACCCAAAAAATGAATGGTTCAAGGTTCAATATGGTTTAATACCACAGTCCATAGAAGCAACCAGCCATGTGTGGGCCTAATCGCACAAAAACCTGGGGTCATCCAAGACTCGGCACCCAAACAATCCTGCCCGAATGCCCAAAATGTACGCGATGGCTTGACCTCACCAATGCACAAAAAGAAGAGAAAGGCTGGAAAATCTGGAAACAAAAGTCAAAAAACATCTGTCTTAGGCATCCTGGAACAGAATTGGTGTGGATTCATCATGATTCATCCCCCTAAATAGCACCCATAGAAAGAAGTCGAAACCCTTGAGAGAATATTTTCATGCACAGGGCCCGTCAAGGTTCCACAACAAGCAGATTTTTTTCTCCACTAAGCTGTGCATCTGAAAAGCTCTGATCCACAGTCACAGTGAGGTCTGTGACAATGAGAGCAAAATAGTGTATATACAACTACTGGAAGATCCACTTCACAATAGTGTATACACATATATTATAATTATATATATATAATAGTCACATGATATCATGTAGTCACCAGTGTCCCGATCGAGCCCAGATGCGTGTCTTACCCAGGCCCATGGAATCCGCCAACAATGCACCTGGGAGCCGGTAATGGCCCAAATGCACTTGGGAAAATTTTGGTGGTCAAAAATCCAAATGTTGCCGCACAAAAGGAACCACGCATAGATTAAAAAAAGATTGAAGATCTTCAGTTACAATCTATTCATCTTAAATGAACTATTCATTTGTACAGCTAGACCTCTCTCTTCTTGCATCCCCGCAACTGCCTGTCTATAGCATATGTAGCATTACATTTTCAACCACATGGATGTATTTAACCCCTGTCAGCTATTGCATCGAACAACTGCATGAGCCAATTGGAATGTCAAAAAAATGAGTTCGACGGCAAACTCCCGAATCAGAAGCGAACACAAATAAACATCATTCATATGCGAAACAAAAAGCGACCCGACTGATGCCACTGATGACATCTGAGAAGCCTGTAAGTTTGGGTCCTACAGCCTTGACTTTGCCATTTCCCCATCCTTGTATGCTGATGATGCACTCTTATCACTCTTAGCAGCCTGTAGGTTGGCAACCAACAGACTTTGCCAACTACATTCATTTGGCCATTGCCCCACCCGTGTATGCCGATGATGCACCGTGAGCAGCCTGCATATAGATTCGCAACCTGCAACCTTGATTTGGCCACCGCCCTGCCTTTGCATGCACATTTGTATGCGCATGATGCACTCTTAGCAGTCTGTAGGTTGGCAACCTACAGCCTTGACTTGGCCCCTTCCCCACCCTTGTATGCAAATGATGCACTCTCAGCAGCCTGTAGGTTGGCAACCTACAGCCTTGACTTGGCCATTGCCCCCGTGTATGCCCCTGAGCAGCCTGTAGGTTGGCAACCTACAGCCTTGATTTGGCACCTGGCCCCACCCTTGTATCCAGATGATGCACTCTTAGCAGCCTTTAGGTTGGCAACCTACAGCCTTGGCCCCCGTGTATGCCCCTGAGCAGCCTGTAGGTTGGCAACCTACAGCCTTGACTTGGCCATTGCCCCCGTGTTTGCCTGAGCAGCCTGTAGGTTGGCAACCTACAGCCTTGATTTGGCACCTGGCCCCACCCTTGTATCCAGATGATGCACTCTTAGCAGCCTTTAGGTTGGCAACCTACAGCCTTGACTTGGCCATTGCCCCCGTGTATGCCCCTGAGCAGCCTGTAGGTTGGCAACCTACAGCCTTGATTTGGCCCCTGGCCCCACCCTTGTATCCAGATGATGCACTCTTAGCAGCCTTTAGGCAACCTACAGCCTTGACTTGGCCATTGCCCCCGTGTGTGCCTGAGCAGCCTGTAGTTTGGCAACCTACAGCCTTGATTTGGCACCTGGCCCCACCCTTGTATCCAAATGATGCACTCTTAGCAGCCTTTAGGTTGGCAACCTACAGCCTTGACTTGGCCATTGCCCCCGTGTATGCCCCTGAGCAGCCTGTAGGTTGGCAACCTACAGCCTTGACTTGGCCATTTCCCCATCCTTGCATGCCGATGATGCACTCTTAGCAGCCTGTAGGTTGGCAACCCGCAGCCTTGACTTGGCACCTGGCCCCGCACTGGCCCCACCCTTGTATGCTGATGATGCACTCTTAGCCGCCTGTAGGTTGGCAACCTACAGCCTTAATTTGGCACCTGGCCACACCCTTGTATCCAGATGATGCACTCTTAGCAGCCTCTAGGTTGGCAACCTACAGCCTTGACTTGGCCATTTCCCCATCCTTGCATGCCGATGATGCACTCTTAGCAGCCAGTAGGTTGGCAACCTACAGCCTTGATTTGGCCATTGCCCCGCACTGGCCCCACCCTTGTATGCTGGTGACAGGTGATGCACTCTTAGCCGCCTGTAGGTTGGCAACCTACAGCCTTGACTCGGCCGTTGCCCTACCCGTGTATGCCGATGATGCACCCGAGCAACCCGCGGGCGCTCTCAACCACACAAGGGAGAGAGGGGGCTGGGATTTGAGTTTCGGAAGTTTTAACCTTGGTTGGGAGACCCATGAGACCCTCTTAAAACTGCAGTTTTCTTGTAATCTTTTGATGTTTTCCTCTGGGATCCTCTGGGGGTCCAGACCCATTTGTCCGGCCGCCCGCGACATGAGCCAGTTGTAGCCAGCCTTTTGGTGCCCGCGCAGTTCCTCAGTGGATGGGCTAGGATACCATGAGCCCGCAAGTGGCTGGTCGTTTGAATATGAAGAAAAATATTCGTGGGGCATGAATCTACCATAAACATCCACAGGCTGCATTTCTTTAGCTGGGTCCAAAACATTACCCATACATGTCAATAGCCATATCAACTCCAGGCGGTCGTAGATGGGATAAGGACTGAGTTTTGCTGTGACAGGTTGCCAGTTCTCAGCTCCTGAAAAAACGAGCAGCAACACGCACTGAGTCATGAACCCAGCTTGGCTTTACCTCCAATTGCAGCCTTGGCAATCGGACAAATCTACTCCAAAACTCAAATCTAAATCTGTCGCTTTCATGTTGCTATAGTGGGAAAATGCATGGGAAATACCTGGGCATCACATTAGATTTCCCGGGCCATCCGCACGGGCGCAGGACATCCTTCACCACTGCAAGGGCGCCAGCGGTCAGCGTCCACCTGTGCACCATCACCATGACTGATATGGATATCAGGATTTCATATAGAATGATATGGAATCATTGACCACAAAATGAGATAAACAATGACATATATAATATATGCATGTATATGTATACTATATACAAACTGGTATGCACAGAGAGAGAGAGAGAGATGCAGAACGATGAGAAGGGGATATGAGAAGGGGATAGATGTTTGATATTTTATTGCTAGATGATAGTAGGCACACACACACACTATATATACATATATACGTATTTATATACAGAGTAATTATAATTATAGTTATAGTTAGATATGGGAATAGAGTCTATGGATTGCATGGATGGACAAATAGTATGGTCATCCCACCTTGAAGATTCGCCCCCCGTGCCTGGGATGAGCACCCACCATGGCCATTAGAACATCTCCAGGGTTCACTTCCACCTGTTGAAGAGAGGAGGAACACATTTTGGGGACAGTAATGACAGTAATGCTAACAGTTAAACATAAATTTCTGATGTTAAACATGGTTAAACATCGATTTCTTATGATTTCTTCGAGTCATAGCTTGAATCCTTTGCAGCTTGGGTAGCTTGGGTGATTTGGGCGGCCGCCGGATTCAAACAGCGTTGTAGTCACAGATACCACGGACGTGGAGATCATCCACGGCCAGGCACCCAGCCATACCCAGCTCTCAGTTGCCGTCAGCCTTGCGATTTTGGCAAGTCAGACCCTCCAAGACTTCGCGCAAATTCCTCGGCTTTCAGATCTTTCAGCAAATCTTGATGTTCCTCTGAGATCCTCCGAGCCTCTTTGCTTCTGCCATTTTTTCCAGAACAAATATGAAAACATGCTGACGTGTTGGATGATGTGTTGCACGACATGGTTGACTACATCAATGATATGTCCTACACTGCTCCAGGGTGCCACACGTGGGGCGGGCCTTACCTGCCCACACCAAAGGTTGCGACCTGGGGGCACCAAGCAGGGAATAGACATTTCGATGAAAAGCAGATGAAAAGTAGTCGCAAAAACATGTACGCCCCAACCTGGACGTTGCTCCACACTTTCAATCGTCATGATGATGATGATGATGATGATGATCATCATCATCATCACATCATGATCATCATCACATTAAAATTC